GCGTTACATCCCTTAAAACTTTCGATTTATATGAAAAGATTGATGAAGGTATTTGTAAGGGTTGTCCTATGTCACGTCGTATTTTTCAATGCTGCCTACTTTTGATGATTACATGTTTGGTTACCGATTCGCCGCTAGTGTATATTACTGAGTAAAATGAATTTCTTTATTTCTGAAACTAAAATACAGCATGTTTATTAGTAATAAAAATTCAAATTATTTTGTGCAAATGTGTTGGTATTCGTTTTCAATATACCTGTTTCGGTTGTTTGCATTCGATATATTATTTAAATCAATTAAGTATCAGTCCCACAAGTTTTAGTTTATATATAGCCCTGTGTCATGTTTTTGTATCATTTTAAACCACGTCCTAATTGAATCGTATCAGTCGAAGCGTTTTAACCATAAATCTATCGATTCTTGGCTCCTTGCCAAAACGATCGTTAACAAGAAACTATGTACTTTTACGTGTACAACGTATGCCAAGGGGTTTTCTTTTTTATCCCCCGTCTCGTTCTCTTTTTCTCGGACCTTTTTTTAATCGCGGTCATGGCACAAGTTGGGAGCACTTTTTAAAGGGTGCTCCATTAATTTTAATTGGTGAAAGTATGTATATATTGAAATACACATGTGTGTATAGGAGTACATTTTGAATCAACACGACTTTTGGATTCATAATTTAAATATTACACACCCCGAAAACTGAAATCGAATTTTGTTTGCGTTTTATGAAACCAAAAAGTTTTCCATGTCATTTTCTTTAAACCAGTTGAACCCGTCGAAATTTGGACGGACGATTGCCGATCTCGATTATGAACATTAGTTACATTTTAATCATGGCGATCCCTGATACCATAACCTAATCTAAGCCTTGGCCTAAACGTCAAACATTTAAATTTAGAGATTACCTATTGGAATGAATACTAAATATGGACATTTAAATTCGTTCACTTTATTGTAAGTTCATCTCAAATAAGTAGGGTGTTTTAACAAAAAAAAAATGACAACATTCTAGATACCGAAAATAGGCATAAAGAGCTCTTCCATCTGTTAATTAGAAGCATTGTTTCCAGAACATTGTATTATAAGATGAGATAGCTGCACCGATCGAGATTTCGATATTGTTTTCATGCTTCAATTGTTTTTTTTTTTCCTTGAAACAAAAGTGTACCGGTTTAAATTCATGTTTTCCTATTATTCTCTTAGATGTAGAAAGAGAGCACACACGTTCGATTTGTTCCTGTAGTGTTGTGATGCTAATAAAAATCAGGACAACAAATCCGTGTGCCGGCTAGCGTCTTTTATGTTACCTACATATACAACCCCCTTCTTTGATGTAAGTTCGCGAATTTATTGATCGGACTGGCTTCGTGGAGAGCTCCTTTTATATTTTAATAATAATAGGCAAAGGCGACCGGATAAAGTGACTTGCAAATAACTTAATGGTCTTTTGAAATCGACTCCTCCTCCTCCTCGTCCTGTTCCTTCGTAACAATCAGGGTCGCCGCGGCGACTGCACCGGGACGTAGAGGGATGCTCATCCGAAATTAATGGAAATGTCAAAACGAAAAATAAACTACTCTTGACCGAAATAATATTGTGTTTTCAGACGCTTTTTTTTTTTTCGACAACCCAATTAGAAAGTTTCTTGGTTTAGTTAAGCAGAAATGCATTGTGTTAATGCTAATTTGTTAGTTTAAAGTTATGAGGACTACAGATATTGCTTATATCGCTTTTGAATGCGAAAATAACATTGTTACTGATTAATTGCCTTTTTCTTATTTTAATTTTGAAATTAAATAATGATTTCTCAAAAATTCTTTAATGAATGAATTTGAAACTCATTGATTGATTTATATGAAGAAGGGAGTCAGGCGAGGATGCCCACTGTATATACACACTAAAGACGCGATAAACATCGTTAAATACAGGACAACTTTAGGGATATATATACAAGGGTAAAAGATTAGTATATTTAGATTTGCAGATGATATAGCAGCACCTAGCAAGGAAGAGTTAGGGATAGCCTTAAATAATATGGAAGCAGTATTGACAAAACAGTATTGTATGAAAATAAATAAAAATTAGACAAAAATACTGGTATGCAAGGGAAGAAAAAGTAGGGAAAGAGCGATTATAAAGGTAGGGGACGAAAAATTAGAAGAAGTGGNTATTCTTTCTAATACTTCTTCATTTCTAACCTTTTCTTTTCCGCCGCGCCCACTGTCCATGTTTTGCACCCGTACAACGCCGTGCTCCAAACATACACCTTTAATTAACATAATATAATAAAATTACTAGGGGCTATTTTTTGTAAAAACCGTATGACATATCAAATAGGGGCCTATTGAAAGGGTCTCAAATAAATAGTTTTGAAGTTATTTAAGAAAATAGCTGAAAAGTAACTACTGAACCTAAAATTTTGAAAAAATACAGAACTTTTTTGTTTTCTTTCAACTACGATGTTAAATTGGTTCTCTGGTTAGGGTTCTGTGCGTCCGAATGAAAAACGGGACCCTGATCACTCTTGAGTTTTTTTGTAATAATTTGGATCTGTCAGAGAAAAAAATCGTTTCCGGTGGTATTATTTGAATATATATACAGTCGCGATTCGTTGTGTTGTTATCGTTTGTAAGTACGTAGATACGAGTGTGGTTGATGATGCAGGCCAATTTGCTCGTTATCTATCAGCGTGGGTAGAATAGCGAGTCGAGGACGGAACGGGATCCTCGCAGGATAATAAGTATATACGAGTACATTGGCGTGAAACCAAGGCGAGCACACTACCAGGATAATGCAGTTAGCGTGGAGGAAATGAGGGAAGTCTGATGGCGCTGCAGCCTAAACCACCGCCGTCGGGTGTTGTAGTCGGTGGTGCAACAGTTTTCAACAGAGTAACAAGTTGAGGAAAACGAATCGATAATAAACCGCTAACTGGAAGCACAGTTGAGGAGCAGGAGGAGGAGGAGGAGGAGGAGTAGGAATTGGTGGAGATTCAGGACATCCGAATGAGGAACAACTGTTTCGCTATTTAGCCGTTGCTGAGCAAAATTAAGCGTCGACTTTACTAAATTAGAATTTGGAAATGAAACAGTCGCAAAAATGTTGGGGTAATTGCATTAGTTAAACACAGGGTGTCTAGAAAAATGTTCGCTCTGGACAAAGCTTGATTTTGGTGCCTCCCTCTCCCACTATTTTTTAAAAATTTTTTATTGTTTCGTAAGAAAACTTATTGATTTCGTGTCACATAGATTATCATCATAAGGTCATCAGTCCTAAGATTAGTTGGACACGCGCCCCTACTCCTTGTTATCCGGACCTAATTCCTAAAACTACAACAACCCACATCCTTAACTATTTGCGAACAGTAATCTAATCTAGGTCTATCTCTACCCCTCCTAACTTCCATTTCTGCCTCTAATATGTCTGTGACTAGCCCTTCATGCCTGAGAAGGTGTCTTATCAACCTATCGCCTATTTCTTATTGACTTCCATAGAGTCCCTTGTTCTCCTAATCTTTCCAATACCTCTTCATTTCAAACGTTCTCTATCCACGGTATCCTCATCATTCGCCGGTAACACTACATTGCAAACGCTTCTAACCTTGTTTTTCCCCGCACTCACCGTCCATGTTTCGCACCCGTGCAGCGCCGCCCTCCAAACATACACCTTTAACAATCTTTTTCGAATTTCTGAAATAACCGTTCGCGAGATAGAAATGACTTCATTTTATTGAAGGCAACTTGATCCTGCGCTATCCTCTGTTTCATATCCCTACTACTCCATTCGTCCTGACTTATCTGACTTCCTAGATACCAAAAATCAGCCACTTCTTCTAATTTTTCGTCTTCTATCTTTATATTCTTTTCCTACTTTTTCTTCCCTTGCATACCAGTATTTTTGTTCTAGTTACGTTGATAACATGAAAGTAATCAATTTTCAATTAAAACCCTTAATTTCGTGTTACGTAATACATAATTAATTATCTTCAGAATATTTTCGCGTTACGTATCGTAGAATTAATGGAGAAACTAACCTAACCTGGTCTGACCCTCGCCTAACCTAATGTTACACAAATACAATANCTAATATCCTTGAGATTGGATAATCTAAAATATTGGATCGATATTGTTTTCCGGGTTCAATGTCATGGTCCATGGAATTTTTAAGTTTCAAATTGATATCAGCACCTACCAAGTCATCACTTTTCCTTCCTTTAGCAAGGAACTAGGAAATTCTATGAATTACGACAAAACTGTCCGCAAAACAATATCGATTTGATATACGTCAGCTGTGTAAAACTAAAAACGACAAGATATTGTGGGGTGCTAATAAACGTCTATAATTCAAAATTCGTAGAAAACGATTCGAAGAACTTCACGTATTAGATAAACCCAAAGTTAAATAAACTATGAATTCTTTTTCTTTCTGTTATTACAATGTGTAAAAGATCAGAAACAAAAAGGGGTTGTAAGTATTTTGATATAAAATTACATTATTAATTGTAGATGTTTATTATCGTACATATTAAGTATAACATTCGCTAACGTGAATAAATCGCTAATACTAAAATTGAAAACTGTTGTGTTCATTGGTTCGCACTATCGATTGTCTACTGTTATATCTCTACAGAGTGATCTTTTTAGGGTTTCAAGGCCTCTACGAACCCTTACAGTTTCTTTACATTAGCTCGTCAATTTGTCCTAAAAGTGATTTTTTTGATTTTGAAACAAATTGTCACTAGTTAAATTATATCGGCTATAATTTCTGGAAAACGGTTTGCATTTTTACGCGATATTTTTTTTCGAAAATTCTGATTGTAATTTAGGCAAAACGAAATGTACTTTGGGCTTGTGCCTCTTCAGCTTCTTGCATGGTTGCTAATTACTAATATTTCGGTTGTTTTTTCTCTCCCTTCTCTTGTCTTCATTCTCTTCTGTCGCCTGGGGGTCGATTGGTCTATCAAAAAACAAAACAAAAAAACAAACAACAATCGATAGGGAGAAATGATAGATCGTATCGAGTATCACGTAGAGCACGCCGTAGATTACGTACAAACGGCGACCCAGGACACCAAGAAGGCTCTCAAGTACCAAAGCAAAGCCAGACGGGTGAGTTGTTCCAACTTAGATTGTAGAAAACGTCACGGACAGTGTTTTCGCTTTTCTGATTTTCGTTTTTCTCTTTTTTTTTTTTCGTCTCACTCTCGTTCCTCTTCCTGTCCATTGTCAATTGTTCCGACCGTTACTGCATTGCAATTACTTGTCTCTGACTTCCTTCCTGATTTTCTTAGGATGGAAAGATCAATAGAGATATTAAATAAAGGATAACGCAGGGTCGAGTCGCTTTCGACAGGATGAAGTGACTTCTATGCTTCTAAAAGTTAAAATTAAAAAAAAAAGATAAAGGTATATTTCTGGGGCGCGGCGTTGTACGAGGGTGAAACATGGACAGTGGGCGCAGCGGATTAGGGTTCCGTACCTTACAGGAAAAACTAAACACTTATAAGAAATCAAACGTTTTTCTCCAAAGGGAATAGGTCATTATTTGTAAATTATATTCACTATTTATTGCAATAATAACCTTTCGCGTCGAATAGTTTTAGTTCGAGTATTGTCTAGAAATTTTACTAGACTAGAAAAACTTTAATTTTATATGAACTTAATGTCAGAGATGTAGTTTCCCAGAAAAATGTCACCCCTTAATATTATTGCAATATTGAAATGGTGTTTTCAGTTTGCGATTGTTTTGCTAATATCTTCTTCAGATGTTATATACCGGTAAGGCAAAATGTTTACATTTCTTTGTCGGCATATTCCTTTTCATGTTGCTATTGGAAGACGTGTGGAGTATATTTTCTGAATCACGCCTATCTGAAAATACTTCACGCTTCTATGAAAACTGTCTTAAACTTACCGAACTCTTAAAATTTTTGAACAATGCGTAACTTCCCTTAAAATTTTCAATTTATATGAAAAGATTGATGAAGGTATTTGTAAGGGTTGTCCTGTATTACGTCGTATTTTTCAAAAGATGATGCCNTCCTACTTGAGTGAGCGATGCGTCCGCGTGGACAGCTGCTATACAATAATACATTTCCATTTACCTCCTTCTCTATATCCATATAAAATATCTATCAAACAAAGAAAATTAAAATTTTCTTTTGAAAAATGAAACCATTCCATCAGCATTTTGTTATGACGTTGTCACGTTCAATTATCGTCAGTAAACCGACTTTACAGACAACCGATTTTTTTAACAATATCCCGACAGTCGTTGTGGTGGTGTGCAATTTTCGAGAATTTCTCCCGGAAAAGGCAGCCACACAATCGTTAAATTTTTTTTGTTTCTCCAAAATTCCTTTTTTCTCCATCGTGGTGTCCGTGTCTTTTCCCAGTATAATCCTGTTTTAAACCGAGGAAATTTCTTCCTCTTTTAGCGGGAAGGCAGACGACAAATGAAGAACTGGAGGAGATGTTGGAGCAGGGAAACCCCGCAGTGTTCACCCAAGGTGTAAGTTCATTTTTGATTAATTTATTTAATGTTGTACAGTCCAGTAATAACGTTTCAAATATCATTGTTTTCGGTGAATAGTTTAACTTTTGATTTGATCCTTTTCGGTGTGAAATTATTCGGTTTTTGTTCCTTGTTGCAGATTATAATGGAAACGCAACAAGCGAAGCAAACATTAGCAGATATAGAAGCTAGACATGCTGACATAATAAAATTAGAAAATTCCATTAGGGAACTCCACGATATGTTCATGGACATGGCGATGTTAGTCGAAAATCAGGTAGGATTTCAAACGTGTTTTCTTAGTTGTAGTAAATTCTGGTTTTCGTTTTTACTGAATGGACCCAAGTCCTTCAGAACTTAATATTTGTAACATTTTTTTTTTTGGTATAAAACCATTTTTTTTTCGTATAAAACTATAGCCAAATAAAACGATTATGAGATAAAATCAGTTAAATAAAAAGATATTAATTTTTATGAGTTTTATGATAATTTGTTCATCGTCGTTCCTTATTAATTGTTTACATTATATTTTTATTACGTTATCTTGACGCAGTAATGTTTTCAGTAATAATTTTGAGTGTTGTTTCTTTTTTAATGTTAAATAATGCGATACACAATTTGATACGAAATATTTTGTTATGTTTCAATGTTCACCAGATGTATTACGGGTAAAATCGGTAAATTTGTAAGTAATATGATTTTTAGGGTTCCGTACCTTACAGGAAAAACTAAACACTTATAAGAAATCAAACGTTTTTCTCCAAAGGGAATAGGTCATTATTTGTAAATTATATTCACTATTTATTGCAATAATAACCTTTCGCGTCGAATAGTTTTAGTTCGAGTATTGTCTAGAAATTTTACTAGACTAGAAAAACTTTAATTTTATATGAACTTAATGTCAGAGATGTAGTTTCCCAGAAAAATGTCACCCCTTAATATTATTGCAATATTGAAATGGTGTTTTCAGTTTGCGATTGTTTTGCTAATATCTTCTTCAGATGTTATATACCGGTAAGGCAAAATGTTTACATTTCTTTGTCGGCATATTCCTTTTCATGTTGCTATTGGAAGACGTGTGGAGTATATTTTCTGAATCACGCCTATCTGAAAATACTTCACGGTTCTATGAAAACTGTCTTAAACTTACCGAACTCTTAAAATCTTTTGAACAATGCGTTACATCCCTTAAAACTTTCGATTTATATGAAAAGATTGATGAAGGTATTTGTAAGGGTTGTCCTATGTCACGTCGTATTTTTCAATGCTGCCTACTTTTGATGATTACATGTTTGGTTACCGATTCGCCGCTAGTGTATATTACTGAGTAAAATGAATTTCTTTATTTCTGAAACTAAAATACAGCATGTTTATTAGTAATAAAAATTCAAATTATTTTGTGCAAATGTGTTGGTATTCGTTTTCAATATACCTGTTTCGGTTGTTTGCATTCGATATATTATTTAAATCAATTAGGTATCAGTCCTACAAGTTTTAGTTTATATATAGCCCTGTGTCATGTTTTTGTATCATTTGAAACCACGTCCTAATTGAATCGTATCAGTCGAAGCGTTTTAACCATAAATCTATCGATTCTTGGCTCCTTGCCAAAACGATCGTTAACAAGAAACTATGTACTTTTACGTGTACAACGTATGCCAAGGGGTTTTCTTTTTTATCCCCCGTCTCGTTCTCTTTTTCTCGGACCTTTTTTTAATCGCGGTCATGGCACAAGTTGGGAGCACTTTTTAAAGGGTGCTCCATTAATTTTAATTGGTGAAAGTATGTATATATTGAAATACACATGTGTGTATAGGAGTACATTTTGAATCAACACGACTTTTGGATTCATAATTTAAATATTACACACCCCGAAAACTGAAATCGAATTTTGTTTGCGTTTTATGAAACCAAAAAGTTTTCCATGTCATTTTCTTTAAACCAGTTGAACCCGTCGAAATTTGGACGGACGATTGCCGATCTCGATTATGAACATTAGTTACATTTTAATCATGGCGATCCCTGATACCATAACCTAATCTAAGCCTTGGCCTAAACGTCAAACATTTAAATTTAGAGATTACCTATTGGAATGAATACTAAATATGGACATTTAAATTCGTTCACTTTATTGTAAGTTCATCTCAAATAAGTAGGGTGTTTTAACAAAAAAAAAATGACAACATTCTAGATACCGAAAATAGGCATAAAGAGCTCTTCCATCTGTTAATTAGAAGCATTGTTTCCAGAACATTGTATTATAAGATGAGATAGCTGCACCGATCGAGATTTCGATATTGTTTTCATGCTTCAATTGTTTTTTTTTTTCCTTGAAACAAAAGTGTACCGGTTTAAATTCATGTTTTCCTATTATTCTCTTAGATGTAGAAAGAGAGCACACACGTTCGATTTGTTCCTGTAGTGTTGTGATGCTAATAAAAATCAGGACAACAAATCCGTGTGCCGGCTAGCGTCTTTTATGTTACCTACATATACAACCCCCTTCTTTGATGTAAGTTCGCGAATTTATTGATCGGACTGGCTTCGTGGAGAGCTCCTTTTATATTTTAATAATAATAGGCAAAGGCGACCGGATAAAGTGACTTGCAAATAACTTAATGGTCTTTTGAAATCGACTCCTCCTCCTCCTCGTCCTGTTCCTTCGTAACAATCAGGGTCGCCGCGGCGACTGCACCGGGACGTAGAGGGATGCTCATCCGAAATTAATGGAAATGTCAAAACGAAAAATAAACTACTCTTGACCGAAATAATATTGTGTTTTCAGACGCTTTTTTTTTTTTCGACAACCCAATTAGAAAGTTTCTTGGTTTAGTTAAGCAGAAATGCATTGTGTTAATGCTAATTTGTTAGTTTAAAGTTATGAGGACTACAGATATTGCTTATATCGCTTTTGAATGCGAAAATAACATTGTTACTGATTAATTGCCTTTTTCTTATTTTAATTTTGAAATTAAATAATGATTTCTCAAAAATTCTTTAATGAATGAATTTGAAACTCATTGATTGATTTATATGAAGAAGGGAGTCAGGCGAGGGTACCCCCTGTATACACACCAAAGACGCGATAAATATCATTAAATACAGGACAACTTTAGGGATATATATACAAGGGTAAAAGATTAGTATATTTAGATTTGCAGATGATATAGCAGCACCTAGCAAGGAAGAGTTAGGGATAGCCTTAAATAATATGGAAGCAGTATTGACAAAACAGTATTGTATGAAAATAAATAAAAATTAGACAAAAATACTGGTATGCAAGGGAAGAAAAAGTAGGGAAAGAGCGATTATAAAGGTAGGGGACGAAAAATTAGAAGAAGTGGCTGATTTTCTTAGGATGGAAAGATCAATAGAGATATTAAATAAAGGATAACGCAGGGTCGAGTCGCTTTCGACAGGATGAAGTGACTTCTATGCTTCTAAAAGTTAAAATTTTTAAAAAGATAAAGGTGTATTTCTGGGGCGCGGCGTTGTACGAGGGTGAAACATGGACAGTGGGCGCAGCGGAAAAGGAAAGGTAATAAGCGTTCTAGACGAATGATGAGGTGACCGTGGATAGGCATAGTTAGAAATGAGGAGGAATTTGAAAGAATAGGAGAACTGTGGAAGTCAATAAGAAATAGGCGAGATAAGTTGGTAGTACACCTTCTCAGTCAGAAAAAACACATAGATTAGATTACTGTTAAGGATGTGGGATGTTTTAGGAAAATGCGAAGATTATCTCACGATAGGAAAAAATGGAGGTGCGTGCCCAACCATTCTTAGGACTTATGACGATAATGATAAAATCTGAAGACTAAAAAATCAAAAATAGATAGAGTTTTATAAATTTTATCGGAAACAAAACACTTTGTTAAGGTACGGAACCCATGCCGTGGTAGTTGATAGCGCGCTGTGCTATTTTTTCTTTTTTATTTTTATTGAATGCCGAATCTTAGTCATAGACATCTGGTGGGGGTTGATGATACATTTTTGTTTATTTTTGATTTTTTTTCAATAAACATAGGTACCAGCAAATATATTTTCTTATATCTTCACAATCAAACTAAATCGGTGCATGTACTCTTCGTGCAGCCAGCAATAATACACATACAATACATTGTTTTTGGTGACTAACAACACAAAACTCATTAACATTACTAATTAAATATGTACAGTACAATCGTTAATCCACTACGAACGCTAGCTATTAGTTTATAAATAACAATAAACGCATTTTCAATTTGCCAACTTCTGTTTTCCGACAAATCGATAGACGATTGAAATAATTTATTAGCCACTTGGATGTGACATAAGCTAATGAATCAATAAGAAATTAATGCTTATTACATCTTAGTCAATAAACATAATTTTTTATGTGCTCTGAATGGAGTTTTATTTTCAAAATGCAGTAGACACTAGATAGGTGTGAACATCGCGTAACGGAAACCCCTCATAATGTAGATAGAATATTAATAATGATACTATGCCGCTGTATACC